GGATCACTTGGGTTGTTACAGACAACTGGTGAAAATTTCATGTCATTAGKACCTCTAGTAATATATTTACTGAGAAAAATGGTGACGTGTTCAATACTTATTTTACCCGCTGTATATTATTTTGAAATCTAAATCCAATTGTGGTCTCAAAAATCTGAATCGAATCAAGAGATGGTAAAAGATTCACACACCTAACAGCTACGGTCTCAAACTGCTGTTGGTATTAATTTAATTATAAACACATTGCAAGAAGATTACTAAAATCACACCTCTTTTGATATTTGAAACATTTTGCATCAGTTTAAATAAATAATCCACTCTTACCTGYTGGTAATATTCAGATCATCAGATCCTTTAATATCACAACATTCTGTTTTTAAACTAAACTACTCTGCTGTGATTCAACCTTACTTACATAAAAAGTAGTAAATTAATGTTTGGTGAATAATTTCTTTGTCGTAACAACGCTTCTTGGCAATAACTGTTAAACCATTGGAAAGTCTGGTAATTTCCCTCTTAAATCTACTGCRCATCCCACAAATYCATGTTCCTTACAAATGTAAAACATGTATTTGTGGGATGGGCAGTAGAGCTGAGTAGGTGGGTTGCTCTCATGAAAGATTTGCCAAATTCTCTGCCGAACAGCTTATTTTGTTGTTTCTATTGACACTTGGTTTGAGCRTCTGCTACCCTCCAGGTGCTGCCAAGAAGCAGTGTTACATCAAAAAACTCATCTACCAAACACAAATCCCTTTACTTTTTGTTRTAAGTATACACAGGTACGCTATTTACTGAAATTATTGGCAAAGCACACATATAAACAACATAAGCAAGCATTCGAAAACTAATTCTGATTTTAAAATGTAATTTTAGTTTACACCGAATCAAAACTGAAATCTAAAAAAGTTGATTTAAATACATGCTGACCTCAGTTATAGATGTAGTGTTTTGCTCCAAAGCTTAAATATTCACAAAAAACTCAACTGATGACATAAAACACGTCATTATAACTCTATTTATTTAAAAAAATGAGAAAAKGACTTTAAGGCTGGCTCATGCTGTGTGATGTCAGATTTAATAAAAGCAGGACTGCAGAGTTGTGTTTGGCACAAAGAGCCGACACAGATTTCCCTCCAACAATAAATGAAAATTAAGTTCTTCTTTTTATATTTGGACTCTAAGTGAGCACTGATCCAAAGCTCACAGTGTTAGCCCGGCTTTAGTCTCTYAACTGCTGCAAACACTGAAGTCTTACAACCCAAACAGATGTCAGGCTGTGATTTAACACTATAAACAAAGTCACTGCATGTCGTTAAGTGGAAAATCAGAAGCAGCCATGCATGGACACTCGTGTTTTACTGCTTACATTGAAGTGACAGTCAGAAAAAGGAGCTGCTGCAGGACCCAGCCTCAACGTAAACAACAACAAATCAGACATAAACACACTGGAACATGTTGAATACATTCAGCAGGTCCACTGCAGCTCTGATCCTCAGCTCACGCTCTCTGGGTTTCTGTTCAGGGCAGAAACATGAKAAAAAGCTGAACTAATTTATGTAACTTTTTTGCATTTAAAACCTGGACTGTTAGCTCCACATGTGCAGCTCAGACGGCCACAGTTAGAAACCAAGCTGATCTCCTACAGCTTCAGAGGGATGACAGGCCAGTATTTAGGCTGCTTCAGGTCACAGTTTCGGTCAAAGCTCAGCTGCATCGCTGCCTCCATGGCCTGGATCTTGGCGGCATCGTTCCCATAAAGCTTCTTCATCTCGGCGGCCCGTCTCTCTGCCGACCGCTCGGAGGGAGGAGCCACGCTGCTGCGGCAGGAGACGCCATGCAGGTCCTGGTCGGCGGGGACGTAACTGTCCTGCTGCTCCTCCATCTGCTGCTGCAGCTCTGCAAAAATACATTTGATATATTTTAACCCCTGAGCTGTACTGTGTCACTCATACAACCTCACCAGGACAGACTGTCCTTCTCTACGCTTCTTACTCAGCTCCTCTCTGTGTCTCTCTGTGTGGGCGAAGTACTGCCGAAGCTCCTCGCTGATCTCCATGTTGCTGACGTCACACTCGATGTCGCTGTCTGAGCTGCTCTCCTCCTCCTCCTCACTGCTCTCTCCGGCCTGCCAGTCGGCGTAGCGCTGCTGGCTGCTGGGATGTTCTTCCCGCCAGTGAAGCGGGCCGCCGGCTGCCTCCCAGGCCTTTCTGTAGGCCCGCCTGTGTCTCTGGTACCAGCCCATGGCCTGCTGATAGTGCTGCCAGTATCGTCTGTACACAGGACTGGAAAACCAGGACATGACGGCATGGACGTCCTCCTGCAGAGACAAACAGTTCAGGTTTTAAACCCACAACCTCACACTCTGTTTCTCTACCAGGACCTGCTGAGATTTCCTGTTCATTGTATACATAGGCTAGATAAWACCAATTAAAAGCCMAGCTGGAAGCTAAAAGTAGCAATGCACTAGCTAAAAGTAGCTATACGCTAGCCAAAAAAAAGGCAAATTGCTAGTCAAAGATAGCATTTAGCGAATAGGGAAAGTCAAGCTAAAAGTAGCAAAAATGCTAATAAGTGGATCATGAAACAGATTAAGAATATCAAAAGCCAAACTAGAAGCAAAAATTAACAAATTGTCAGCTAATGGTAGTAAAATATTAGCTAATTGAAGCAAAATGCTAGCTAAAATACACTAATTTAAAGCCAAAAGTAAGAAAATACAGCAGCATAATATAGCAGCAAACACTAACTAAAAGCCAAAAGAAGCTAAATAACTAAAAGTAAATTAACAAAAGGTAAGCTAAACATTTTAGACGGCTAACTAAATGATAAAAGTAGCAGAAGGCCAGCTAAAAACAAAAGGTATCTACAGGTTGTCTACATACTAAAACTAAACTAAGGTCAGGTAGTTACTAATTTGGCAAAAAGCTGGTTTAAAGAAGCAGAACGGTAGCTTAAAAAGCAACAACTAGCTAAATGTAGCAGAAAACTACAGTTAAATCTGTGAGCATCATAAGATAAAATGGAGCRAATTTGCTGAAACAGATTTCAAACAAATCTGAAGAGATTTTGAGAAGCCTAAAGTAACAAAGCCTTAAACTATATTACCATCAGCTGAAGACGAAGCTGAAGTTAGCTTCCGATTCCAGCTTCCGATTCGGGAAATGACTAAAGGGATATCACAACTAATTTTTCACTACCTTGCGCGTGTTTAACCTGCTCTAGCTCAAAAACTACAACACCTACACTCTTCAAATCTGGACTAGATTATTCTGCACTAATAGAAGAATATTTAAAAACACGTTTGGGATTTGGGAAACCTTTGCCTGATTTGTGAAACTTCTACAAAGTTTGTTTTTCATCATTTTTATGCAACTGGACCACATTAGACCTGGTCCAGCTCAAAAACCACAACACCTGGACTCTTCAAACCAGGACTAGATTACTCTACACTAATAGAAGAATAATAAAAACTAAGTTTGAGCTTTGGGAAACCTTTGTCTGATTTTTGAAAAATCAATAAAGTTTGTTTTTCATCAATTTTTAGGCAACTGGACCACACTAGACCTGGTCCAGCTCAAAAACCACAACACCTGGACTCTTCAAACCAGGACTAGATTATTCTACACTAATAGAAGAATAATAAAAACTAAGTTTGAGATGTTTCACAAATTAGTCATAGGTTTCCCAAAGCTCAAACTTAATTTTTATTATTCCACTATTAGTGTAGAATAATCTAGTCCTGGTTTGAAGAGTCCAGGTGTTGTGGTTTTTGAGCTGGACCAGATCTAATGTGGTCCAGTGGTCTGAAAAACAATGAAAAACAAACTTTATTGATTTTTCACAAATCAGACAAAGGTTTCCCAAATCCCAAACATGTTTTTAAATATTCTTCTATTAGTGTAGAATAATCTAGTCCAGATTTGAAGAGTGTAGGTGTTGTAGTTTTTGAGCTAGAGCAGGTTAAACACGTGCAAGGGAGTGAAAAATTAGTTGTAATATCCCTTTAGTCATTTCCCGAATCGGAAGCTAACTTCAGCTTCGTCAGCTGAAGGAGCTYTAAAACACAGAGAAGCAGGTGTGTTTCAACAAGTACAGAATGAGTAAACCAAGAGGCAGCAGGTGTTTAAGTTTCACTTTGTTGTTTTCTTACCATGATGAACTGATGGTTGTCCCTGTTATTTCACTAACTTTAATACATCCGCAGGTCTTTAATCTGTGACACACATCAAACTAGAGTCAGGAAATTAAAATATCCTTCGTTTTAGTRTYACGTAACGTCCAGATATAAAACAGATGACGTCCCGGGGAAGAGAAAAAAAGCGAKAATACATTAATATTAAGACATTTTCACTCGCTGGTACCTCAAATTAAAAAACATTCATCTAAACGTGTCATAACACTTCCTCACTGAAAATTTCCCAGCAGCCTTTGAGGCAAAACGTAACAAAACACCGACATAAATGCAAACAGCCGGCGGAGCAGCACCCTCTGGCGGACACTGTGAGAACACATCAAATAAACTAAATATTTATTTACTAATTACTGTCAATTAAAAARAACAGTAGTTTATTATTAGGACCTTTCACTGTTAGTGTTTTATGATTGTCGAATGTATTTATAATTTGTTGGTACTCATTTCAAGTTGTGAAACCTTGAAACTGTTTATTCAAATGCAAGCAGCTCAAAAATCATTAAACTGATTTTGGTTTTATGTTTATTTAAATGGTTTTGATTTCACGTACCAATATAGCCTGTAAAATTTCAAGGCTACCTGTATTTTATTTTTTTTAGTTTGACAGTCAATTTAAATTTCTTTAATTATTATAATGTACAGAAATATTTTACTACTTTGTTAGTTTATTCTGTTTATTCCCTTCCATTTGACCATTTATGTTCTTAGTTCTGTTTAAAAATGACTCAACTGCWCCTGATTTATATCCTTGCTGCACCTTGATGTAGTGCTGTGTACAGTTGACTCTGATGTTCTTAAAATGAATCTAGTCCAAGTAAGATTGTTTGGGGAATTTAGGGCTAAACAACAAGAAAAACAAACAAACAAACAAACAAACAAACAAACAAACAAACAAACAAACAAACAAACAAATAAAGCTCTTTCCTTGTTATTTTCTATAAACTGTATGTCTTTAGATCTTTATGTAGTTTAAAAGTTAAAACCCATACTTTGTAAAAACATCCAAGTGTTAAAAAGAAAACTGAAGCCCATAAATGAACCCCAACATGAAAACATTTATGAAAATCCCTCACTGCACTTTATATTATTTAGTTCATGTGACACTTTATTTTTTAAAATAATTTTATGTTTTGCTTTGCCTTCAGCTGTTGCACTAATTAAAAGTGAAGCTGATATTTGATATGAACTCAACACGTAACAGTGTCTGAGTAAAACACTGACACATTTGGCAAGAAAACAGCCGCACTCAGAGTCTGGGACATGTTTCACTGTAGATGTGGGTCATGCTTTGGCTTCAGGCTTCAAAGCTTTCAGAGGAAATGAAAAAAGAAGTGTTTCTTGTTCGAACATGTTTCCGTCTTTTTGGTGTCAAAAGATGTCTGTTAACCTCATGCAAGCCAGCTTTTAATAAGAGAAGACTGCTCTTATTCTTAGATCAGCTTTGACTTGAATTTATTGCAGATATTAAGAACCCAAAAAGTGCCACATATTGTCAGGAGGTGAAAATAAGCTGAAAATCTTAATAAGTCAATTTAAAATCACTGCAAGAATAGATTGATGAAAGGCCAGTAAGAAGTGATGATTAATTATCTGAGATGTAGTGTTAAATATGAGAAAATCCATCATGTTGTTGTGATTTGTCTCCCTCTGCTGGTGGATCTCATCTCTGCATGGATGCTCAACGAGTCACAGAAACAGCCTTTGATTAAACGAATAAAGGATGAGCTCAGACAGTTTCATTTAGCATCAGTATTTGGATTGTGTTCATGTTTTAAAACATGACATTAAAAATATAATAAGGCAGATGTTAACACTTACTGTATGTTGTCTTTTAGATGGAACTTAATAGGTGCCTCTTATGTATTTGAATTTATGTTTGAGTTTCACTTGAGTAACTAAAACCCATCATCAGGCTTTGGTTTTCTGTAATGTAAAGTACAAGAACAAGTGATACCAAATAAACACAAACCTCAAACCAAAAACAAGAAAAAGGGATCTTTTAAAGTTATTGGTTTGTATGTTGCTCAGCATTCATCGTTGTTTTGGTTTTAATATGTCACATTGATCTAATAACAGTGATTTGACTTTCTCTCACACAAAAATCTGTACATTTATTCTGCTTTTACCACGTGAAAGAGTTCTAGCGTTGCGTGTAAATCACACAACTTGTGTTTAGTTTGAGCAAAATATAAAGCAATTAGTTTATGTACAGCGGGTAAAATAAGTATTGAACACGTCACCATTTTTCTCAGTAAATATATTACTAGAGGTGCTAATGACATGAAATTTTCACCAGATG